GGTCCTTGAATGGCTAGAACTCTCTCAACTCAACCAATGCTCAATTTTTCTTTGACTCTTGATTTTGACCTCTCTTCCACTTCTTTCACTAAACAAGGTAAGAAAAAGGGATTACCAACCCAACTAGACTCTTAGATTGAGATTAAAGACTAAATCTTTAACATTGAATCCACTAGTTACAAGCTAGGAACCATGGACCCTCATAATCTCTCAAAATCCATTTTAGCTTTTATAGCTAAAAACTTGAGAAGTGGAGCTTAGATTGAAGCTTGAAGAACAAGGAATTGAAATCTTACCTTGGATTTACTCAACTAAGCTTGAATTTCTCTAAGTTTCTCAATTTAGGAAAAGATGAAGAAGAGAAAAAGATGAGAAGATAGGAAGAGTATTTGGTGAGTTTGTAAGGGGTTAGTTCATGTATAAACATAATGTAAAAGGGAGGGTTTTCAGATTTCAAAACATCAAGGGGATAATTGCACCAGTAGCCCCTCCACTTCCTATTTCCTAAACACTCATCCCTAAGCACAAATCTTTTGGGCCTCATCTCAAGCCCACTAACAATAACCTTGGTCCAACTATTTTATTAGATCTTTTGAGCTCAACTTTGAGTCTCGGATTGACCCGAAATACTAACTCGGGATTCAAGGCGTTACATTATGTATTTGCGCGCATCAATGAGGTTGTTGTATTGAAGCTGAGAGGTAGGGGTTATAATCGGGTGGGGGCTGTAAATGAGCAGATTTGTATAGGTTGGGATCTTTGGGAGTAGTGCTCTGCTGGGGCTTGTTTTGTCTTGTCTTATGTACTTATTTGTTTTGCAATATAATGGTCATATTCATCGGAAAAATTGTTGTTGTTCCTTACTATATAACAAGTGTAGTTTTTCAAGAATATTTCTCAACCAAATGGCTTAGGAGACACAAGTTGTAGCAGCTACAAACTCAACTTCGATTACTAGATAAAGTGACGATTACTTCTTTGAAGACCATGAAATAACTCATTTACCCAGCATAGAAGCATAACTCAAAGTTCTTTTTTATCGTCAAGATCGCTTACATAATCACTGTATGCGAAGCCAAACAAATATGTCTTTTTCATTCTTCTTGCAAAACAATTCATAACTAGGAGTACCTTTCAAATATCAAACTATTTTTGCAATTAAAGATGAGTCTCCTTTACACATTCCATAAACCTGCTGATGAGACTTACAACATGTATATTGTACGGTCTTATTGCAGTCAAATAAATCAAGCTTCCCACCATTTACTTGTAAGAGGGGTTGTTAATTTCCTTTCCTTTAAGATTTAGAACACACTTTAACTCTACTTCAGTCGAGGTGTCAACAGAATTTTAATTCTTCATCCAAACCTGTCAAAATCTCTTGCACATATAACTTATGAGAAATAAAAATTCCAACAACAGATTATATCACTTCAATATCCAAAAGATAATAATACAACATGCCAATATCAATAATATCAAACTTAACCATCTTGGAATTTTTAAATTCGTCAAACATGGCAACATCACTCCTAATAAAAATAAGATAACCAACATAGAGGCAAACAATGATCATCTCAACTCCTTCATCAACGTTAATAAAAAAATTGTATTTTCATACGAAATTTGTTTTAAAAAGTAATCCTCGATACAACTATATAAAGTTCTAGGAGTTTGTTTCAATTCGTAAACGACGTTTTTTGAACCTGTACAGCTTGTTCTCATTTGCACACTTCACATACCCAAGAGGCAGATCAACAAATATTTGTTCTTTCAAATTATCGAATAGGAAAACCGACTTTAAATCAATATGTCCTTTGATTTTTTCAAACCCAGAATATCATTTTGTTTAACAAGGATATGAGTGTAACCTGACAAGTCTAACACCTACTCTTCAAACAAGATCTGCGTCTGCTCGGACCATTATCCAACGTTTGCATTATGTTTTATCATGTGGAGAGATAACTAGTTGTACGGTTTATTAAAAAAAACATATTGATACTAATTTAAGTTTTAAAGCCAAATGTAATAATCAAATATTATATTAACCCTTCAATTCTGAATGATATGAAAAAGAGCCCCGAATTTCCGTTAACGTCCTAATAAGAGAGAAACTACAAGAAAAGTTATTCAATGACAAATTAAACATATCACATGGGAGAACTACTTGTTTTCTTGGCCAAAAATAAAGGCAGCGTGAGAAAAAGTAGTGTTTTAAATATTTCCTTAACTAATACCATGACATGTGCGCACCACCTATCATTCATATGAGTATTAATTAAAACGTTGAAACTGCATGCTGATGAGTGCCGACAGGCCCGTAAACACCGATGGAAAGCTTGAATTTGACGTTTTCAATTATTATATGAAAGCAGTTTAGAGGATCGAGTAGAGTTTAGGGTAAACTATATATTTAGTACATAAACTATTAGTTTTGATCAGTTTTGTACCTAGACTTTTTATTTTTTTTAAACTATACCTAACATTTAGTTTTTGTTTCATTTTATTACCTCGGCGTTAAAAATTTAACTCATTTAGCACATAAACTATCAGTTTTGATCCGTTTTAGTACTTAAACTTTAAATTATTTACAAAATTTAATATTAAATTTTGAACATGATACTAAAATGAAACAAAAATTAACTTTAGGTATGATTTTGAAAAAAATAAAAAATTTAGTTACTAGACTTTAGATATAGTTTAAATACTAAATGCATGATTTACCCTAGAGTTTAAATGAGGTATTTCTACTCAAAGTTATGAGTTTCGACTCAATAATCTATTATTTTCAAATTAAAATCAAGTTCTTTTAGAATTTAAATAATTTAATAATTTATTTAAATATTTTTATTTTTATATAAATATTTGATATATAAATCAAATAAATTTTGATTTATATTATAAAATTATATATTTAAATGATATGTATTTTATCTAAGGTTTAGCGATTTAAGAATTTAGATTTTAGTGTTTATAATTTTTTTAATTAGTTTGAGGTGATTAAAAGTTAACATTTGTTCAGAATTTTTTTAATTATTGACAACGTATTATGTACAATACCTAAAGATATATATACTTAAACCCAAAACATCTAAAACTAACAAATGTTTATAATTCAAGATCAAGAATTCAAGGTTTAGAATTTAATATTTTAAGATTAAGCTTTTAGATTTTAAATGTTAAGATCAAAATAAGTAGAATATATAAAGTAAATTTCAAACAAACATTTATATCCAATAATAATCAATTTAATATTTAATATTAAATTATTATTTCTTCAATAAATTGTATGTAATAATATTGATATACCAATGAGACATAATTTATAGGGTTTAAAAATGGGTATCCGCATTTTCGGGTACTCGGAGTACCAAGTACTCGGTTCTTCAGGTACTACATTTGTCGACCTGTGCCCAGACCCATTAAGTTTGGGTACCCGCATTTTTGGATCACGGGTACTCGATTTATATATTAATTTAATTTTTTTTAAATCACATAGGAAATTCATAAAAATTTAAAAGTTCATAATACACAATCCACACACATAAATTAGTGATTTGAAGTTAGTTTGATTTGAAGTTAGATTCAAAGATAAATAATATTTGAATATATATATATATATATTAAAGTTTATTTCCAAAAGAAAACATTAAAAATATCAATATCAATTGCGATTTTTTTGAATCTCAAATTGACAAATTAATAAAAACTTCGTTGAAAAAAATAAAATTTAAAAGTACATAATACAAATCTAAAAAAATTTATGAATATATATTTAATTTTAAGGTAAAAATATTAATAACCTAAAATAAAAATATAACTTAAACATATATATATATATATATATATATATATATATATATATATATATATTAAAACTACCAGGTTGGGTCGGGTACTAGGTTATAAAGAAAATTTGGCCTAGACCCAGCCCAACTACCCCAAAAAAAATTACAAGTCAGGTATCCGACCTGTTCAAGTATTTTTTTTAGAGAATTACACTGTTTTTTATGTTCGGGTTGACGGGTCTACAGGCCAAGTCAATTGAGTCGAGTATTTTTAAACACCTCTAATAATTTATGCACGATTAGTAAATTAAACAATGTCACTTAAGTAGAAAAATAATTTAATTTAATTTTAAAATTTAATAATAATATATTAATTTCTAAGTTACTAACAATACATGTAGTATACATTATTAATGTATCGGATGTTAATCTAAATTACATAAAAAATAGATTTTACCTTAAATACAAATTTGAATATATACTATATAAACGAATTTAATCAAATCAAAGTTAAATAGATTGATTTATTTTTAGTAGAATTCTGCCCTAGTTAGAAACACATGATTTTATGGGTATGAAATTCGATTATAAATAAAAAAATGTAGAAAACTTAAACTATCAGTGAAATTAAAATTTTCAGTATCAATATCTTCTTTCTCCATCCTTGATTCTAAATATTCAATTGAATTTGTGTTCAAACTCAAGCTTCTCACTACTTAAGCTTGGGCCACTAAATTATACGTAACTAGATTATTAATAAAAAAATACAAAAAAAACTTAAACTACGAGAGAATTTGAAATTTTCAGCATCCACATCTTGATTCATCCTTAGTTTTAATTGATAGTATTCAATCGAGCTTGAGTTGAGTTTCGACTCAAATTCGAACTTCTCACTACTAAAACTTGGGCCACTAAACTACAGCCCTAGGATTGTGTCATCAAGATTTTGTGACGGTGGTTGTGGTACAGCACTGGCAAGCATTAGTCTAGTAGTTGAGAAGCTGAAAGTACATTAATTACAAATCACCGGCTAGATTAGGTTTTTTTTCAAAACAAGTTGAAAGTTGAGGAAATTTCATTAAACAAATTGAAAAGTTATGTAAATGTGAATGGTAAACAAAATTCTTCAACTAATCAACTGCATGCATTTATGGCGTATCAATAGTTACGTACTATGGATATTGTATATAAGAGGTTCTTTGCTGAATTAAGTTAATGCTCAACATTGGCAAAAAGAGCTTTGGGGTATTTGGTTTTGGTTTAAGAAAGATGAGGATGGGGAAATTATTTTCCAAAAGACTTGGAGTGTTTGTTATAATATTTGTGTTTGCCATAGCGATAGCAGAATGCCGAAAACTTGAGCAGACCCTTGGAGGTGGTTTTGGTGGAGGAGCTGGAGGCGGTATCGGTGGTGGCCATGGTGGTGGTTTAGGTGGAGGTTTTGGAGGTGGGGCTGGCGGTGGTGTTGGAGGTGGTGGTGGTGGTGGTTTTGGAGGTGGAATCGGTGGTGGTGTTGGAGGTGGAGTTGGAAAAGGTGGAGGCATTGGAGGAGGAGGCGGAGCTGGCGGTGGTGTAGGTGGAGGACACGGAGGTGGTGCAGGTGGTGGAGGAGGTATTGGTGGTGGTGTAGGTGGAGGACATGGAGGTGGAGTTGGTGGAGGTATTGGAGGAGGAAAAGGTGGAGGTATTGGTGGTGGTGTAGGTGGAGGACATGGAGGTGGTGCTGGCGGTGGTTTTGGAGGAGGAAAAGGTGGAGGCATTGGTGGTGGTGTAGGTGGAGGACATGGAGGTGGTGCAGGCGGTGGCTTTGGAGGCGGCATAGGTGGAGGACATGGAGGTGGTGTTGGCGGTGGTTTTGGAGGAGGAAAAGGTGGAGGCATTGGTGGTGGTGTAGGTGGAGGACATGGAGGTGGTGCAGGCGGTGGCTTTGGAGGCGGCATAGGTGGAGGACATGGAGGTGGTGTTGGCGGTGGTTTTGGAGGAGGAAAGGTGGAGGCATTGGTGGTGGTGTAGGTGGAGGACATGGAGGTGGTGCAGGCGGTGGCTTTGGAGGCGGCATAGGTGGAGGACATGGAGGTGGTGTGGCGGTGGTTTTGGAGGAGGAAATGGTGGAGGCATTGGTGGTGGTGTAGGTGGAGGACATGGAGGTGGTGCAGGTGGTGGCGGTGGCTTTGGAGGCGGCATAGGTGGAGGACATGGAGGTGGTGCTGGCGGTGGCGGCGGCTTTGGAGGCGGCATAGGTGGAGGACATGGAGGTGGTGCTGGCGGTGGTTTTGGAGGAGGAAAAGGTGGAGGTATTGGTGGTGGTGTAGGTGGAGGACATGGAGGTGGTGCAGGTGGTGGTGGTGGCTTTGGAGGTGGTGTAGGTGGTGGAGGCGGTGCTGGTGGAGGAATTGGAGGGGGATTTTAGTTGCCAAATGTTGCATGCTAAAAAATATTGTAACTTGTACACGTGCATACTAATGCATGGTGTAATTGATACGGCATGACATAATGCCGTACTAATATTATTGAGCAAAATAAGGAAGTTTTCTAGTTTCTATTACAACTTCTGCTCCTCCATCTTTAAATTTAGATCAATTAGATGATGTCGCGGTAACATATGTTAGTATCTCATTAATTAAATAAAATTTAAAAAATAAATTAATACTATTATAAAAAAGGGAAATTGAACCTTGGACTTCTCTTATTGCACTGAACCATTAAACCAAATCCAAAATTTATTATAATTTCATCACAATTTATATTTAAAATTTTCAGATAAAGTTAAATTATCTTACTAAGAGAGGGAGATTCGAACTCTAAAAATCATACACTTGACCATTAAATTAGATTAGGATTCCCTCTTACAGTATGGAGGAAATCAATCCCGGTTACACATGCTCTTTTCTGATCATTTCTTGGCTCAGACTTTTCTATTAAACTTGTAAACATTCTATCGAATCATTTTAATTTTATTGAGAATAGTATATCGCTCCTTTGCAATGGATTCAGTAGTCCCTTTTATTTTTCTCCTCTATTCTCATTGCTAAGAAAGTCGGTGATTTTCGGGTAAAAAAATATAATTCTATGATAGATATTTAAAATATGATTTTATCTTTGGTTGAAAGAAAGAAACGTCATCGGGTTATTAAGAAATAATCAAGTAACTCGTAAGAAGATGAAGTTGAATGTGAGTTCTATATCCCTCTCAGAAATAATCAAAAGAAAGCAATTTTAAAGGAATCAAATTGAGCTTGGAAGAAACCCGATTCTAATGTCGAGGGAGATAATCAAGAAGTGGTGCTTGAACTTGTTAGACTAGGAACCATAAATAGTGACGGTTGATGTCATGAGTTCTTTCTTCAATGTAGTTTTGGTTCGTTTTGTTTGGGGAGTTCGGCTTCAAATTTGATTGCGAGTCATTCAATGAGTTCCTAGTGGAGATGATTCGATTAAGTGTGGTATGGTTTTTCGAATTTTCTTGGGAGCTTGTCTTTTATATTTTCAAAGAAACTATTGTTGTTTTAAAACAACCGTTAAAAAATCCCGTTAAGAAACTATGCTCTGATAATTTTGATTTTTTTTAAATAAAAAGCCCCAAATCCTTAAAAATCACTAACCCTAACCTTAACCTACCTTGCCAGCCACATCCGTCGTCGCCGATGTCATCCTTACGATCGCCATTGTCAACCGTCCTTGCCCATGCTGTTGAAGCTGTCGAGTGCTTCGATTTTGCAATTTTTGGTTTCAGGTTCGTCGGGTTTAAATCGTTGATTAGGGTGGCTTCGAGCGGCTGGGACGTCGGGTGACTGGGTCATTGGTGGAGGTTCGGTCAGCTGGAGGTTCGTTGATGGCAAAGGCAGCGAACGGAGGTCACTGGCATGGATATAGGGATTGGAATAATTTTTTTCAAAGTTTGGGGCTTTTTTAGATTTTCAAAAGCTTTGGGTTTTTTTAAATGAAATTATATTTTTAAGTTTCTAATTTTAAATAAAAAATTTCAAAATTACCAGAACTCAGCAAGTGCCCTTTAACGGTAAAAATTAGCAGTCGTTACGACTCAGACGCCTAAAGTGGTGACGTTTGTAACATTAGACACCTAAATCATTCAAAAAATACTTTAGGCAGCTATTCGTAAAAAACGGTATAGTTTATACACTTATTTTATATTTAAGTCTTTTAACAATAAAAGTTGCAATTCTAATGACCTGAATCTCAAGGCCATTAATAGGAGTCAATGCATTTTGAAAGTCAAAGCTAACAGTTGAGGTCATAAGAAGCAAATGATGTTAACAGTTGGATGGAAAACTCCCTCAGGCACTTGAGGGATGGATCGGGAGATGGCAGAGTGTGATCCGAGAACATAATGAAATAGCAACCATTGAGGGTGTCTTTCACATTGGTTCAATCAGATGGAAATTGAATGTGACAATTCATTGGCTGTTGAACAACAAAACACACGAGGGACCTATCCTAGTGCGTCGAGTGTTGGATATTTGCATGAATCGGCAGCTAATTTCTTTCATTCACATTTTTGGAGAAGCCAACGGGTTTGCAGATGTCTTGGCTAAGATACTTACACTAGTCAACAAAATATTTAAAGTTTGGTGGTTAAATATATGACCTTTTGGGTTCGAATCTCCTTTTTCCCCGTTAAGATAATTTATTTTTTCTTTGATTTTCTTTGATAATTTTAAATATTAATTTAATGAAATTATAACAAATTTCATGTCTAGTTAAATGACTAAGTACAGACTCTTGACCAATGGTTTGATTCTCTTCTTCCCAATTAGCAATTAATTTATTTTATTCAACCAATAAAATATTGACATGTGTTACCATTTATTCAATCTAAATAAAATTATTAAAAATAATATGAGAGTTGATTAGGAGAGAGAAAATAATATGAAAAAAAATCATGTCACCATCGTCGTTAGTGACTCATTCCTAGAGAGTCACAATGAGTGCAAGAACAATCGGCTGCTGGTGTTTTTCCATGAGAGAGATGAAAACATAAAGAGAGAATGTAAGAGTGAAGAAAAAAGAGGTGGAGATGATATTTTCTTAGTTGTTGTTAAAAAGTAGTTATTGTAACACCCTAAATCGATACGATACACAGTCAACCGATTTAAGGTGCTACACGGAACCACCGAAGTGGTTAACCAACTTATTTTTACTTTCTTATACTTTAAAACGACTCTTTACATCTGAGAGCCCTCAAAATATATAAATACCTACATATTGACTCTTAACTGACTTTACAACTCAATACAACTGAATTCATGAATATACATGTCATTTAAGAAACTTGTGACATACTCTGCTCTGCACTGGATCTGGACATCGGTCTCTGAAAGCTTTTTAACTGTTGGATCTACTAACCTGCCCATGAAAACATCCGAAGGCTGAGCTAACTACCTCAGTGCCACGCTAACAACTAAAACATACTAAAGCATCTCTGAAAAGCTCAAGCTATCAAGTCTATCGGTATAAGGTTTACTTTTATATGTTCTACTATCTGTTCTATTCTACTAGCCCACTCCTTGAGTGTTGGACCTTGCGCCCAAGCTAGTCTACTTTAAAACTGCTTTAGTGAGTATTCTCGAATACTTACTCTCTAAGCTATGGTAGACATCATGGTGAAACTGAGGGTTCTGCATCTCGGAGCTAGCACACCCCTTTAGTCTACCCTGGATATGGCCCTTGTAATTCTCTGCATCGGAAACCATACCCCTGACTAAACCCACCCTTTCTTCTAAAGAGTGTTAAGGACTCGACAAACATATTTAGTCAGAAGGGCCTCGAGTTGATAAGTATTGTTAAATCAATGGTGGAAGCTCAATGCTCCCAATAAGTCTCTTGTGCCGACATTCTCATATTGGCAGCTCAAGAAGTCGTCGTCGCTTTTGGAGGGCCACGTATAAATGTTCAGTTGGGGCGGCGAGATTCGTCGCACTCCCAAGCTATCGACTCGCAGACGTATTGCTCCCTCCTGCAACAACTGGAGTGGCTGATATGCTCAATATTTTCTCCAAGAAAAGAATGACTCTTGCAGAATCCGTCGCCATTTTGGGTAATTAACCACATCAACATCTTCCAAATAGACATTCAATTCAACGTATATATATATATATATATATATGCATTAATAACATGAAGAGAAATGAAAGAATATATATATATTGTCACGGGCTAGAAACTTGGGTCCGAGACACTGGTGTAAGTGTCCGACCAAGAGGTTCAATATAGAGAATCGGGCTTACCTTGACCACCAGACTTAGCCAATTCTTGGAGAATGCTTAACAAGTCCGTGAAGGATCTATTCCAAGGCGTCCGAGAGGAGCGACGAGGGCGATGGGGGCAGTGTTGTCGAGGCTCGTGGATTCGAATCGAGACATGTGAGTAGATATCTGTAAGAGAATTATACAGACTATTGGGCTTGCCCAGAACCATCAGATCTGGCCCGTTCCTTGGAGGATTCTAGAAGGATAATGTTAGGTGGGATTTCCTTGATTTAAGGGATTGGGTTAGGTGGGAATCAATCCTAGCCCTTCATGTAAAATAATCTTAGCCATCAATTGAGAGGGAGCTCCCCTATAAATAGAGAGCTCTCCTCCTCATTTGTAATCACCCAATTTCATTATTCTCTTTGAGAGAGTAATATAAGCTCTGAGGCATTTGCTCTATTCTTTCTGAGTTCTTTAGTTTCTTTGTTCTTGTTGCCTATCTCGGTGGCCAGGAGTAGCCACCTTCGTGTTAGCACTTCCACACGATAGTCCGACCTTGTGGCTCCGCGTAGCCACGTTGGTGTTTAAAGCTTCCACAATCCGAAGCCTTGAGGGCTTGGTTCCAACCTTTGTGAGTTTGCACACTCACTTAGCTTGGGTAAGGCTTACTTAGTCGCCAAGAAGACCGAGGAGCGTCTAAAGCGTCTAAGGCCGCACGACCCGTCATACCTTGACTCTGATATTCCGACGGTGTGAGGCGTCGAAGTTCTGGGGGCGTGACAATATGCATTAATAACATGAAGAGAAATGTCAAAGAATCAGGTTAGGATAGATTTTTGTTCAATTTGACTCAACTCAAAAAATATATACACTTTATCTGATTTGAAGAACATATTTCCACTATCTTAACTTGATCCAATCTAATTTTTAGAATATAAATCCGACCTAACCTTATTCTATATAAAATAATAATTTAATTAAAAACTAAATGAAGGAGTATTATATTAATTATCTATAAATTTTAATGAAAAAGTTGCATTATTATTTCGAGTAGAAGATTTTCTACCTTCCATCCGAACTCGACCTCACATAACCTTATCATATATAAAAACTCAATTTAATAGTTTCTTTAAAAAGAAAAAAAAAACTTTACCCTATCAGGTCGAATTGAGTCAGAATTTACCGTTTTCGAATTAAATTGTCAATCCCTAACTGAGTATCTTTACTTTTGCAGGTGCTCACATGCTAGGGATATCGCATTGTTCAAATATACAGAAACGATTATACGGTCATAAAAATGGCGAGCTTAGAGCAATGGAGCCTGCTTTTGCAGCGTTTT